AAGAGCGGAAGCACTGGGAACTTCTCTCCCCTGCTCCAGTTTCCCCGAGGGTGGGGTGTATGTGTGCTTCCTTCTTGCAAAGTGGAAGGAGCTGCCCAGTGAAAAGAGCTGAGAGCTGCTGCAGTTTGCTTTAAATCGCAACATGTCTGTTGGAGGCTTGAACGATCGGTGGAGGGGGCGTGGCCATGGGGAGGACTCAATGCTATCAGATCAATAGGAGAGAGAGGGACGGGGAGAGAAGGCTCCTCCCCCTCTGCCCTGATAAGCGTTTTCTACGCAGCCGCAGTGAACTCTGTTTTACTTTTTGGCTGTTTTTTAACTCCCCTCTCTATATTTTAAAGTTTTTAGATTTTTCTGCACACCTAGGAAGTAACTGACGTGTGCAGGATAATCTCTTTCCCCCCCATGCGCCCCCGGAGCGCTGATTTAGCGATCCGCACAGAGAGGGGATGCTTGGCTATTAGTATATAGATAATAATACCTATGGGGAGTGTTTTTATCACTTTATAGGTTGCACTGTGTTAATTGTAACTCTGACAGCAATCAGTCTTCAAACAGTATACTCTCCCCTCCCTTCCCCTCCCCAGTTATGGAGGTTGGCATGCATGGACACCACTAAAACTGTACCACAACCATTCAGATTTTGTTTTGGGTTGCTGTGGTAGCAGGTCAGGAGGATCTGACAGTGTAGGCAGCAAGTGGCTAGAAGCAAGCTAGAGATGGTCATTTGGTGGTGCAAGTTTGTGTGTACTTTCTCTCCCCTCCTCCCTCCCTCCCTCCCTCCCTCTGAACAGACAGAGGACATGGGTTGAAACAATAAGAAACTGGGATTATTAGCACAAAGAACATGGAACTGCAGTGAAAGGTTAGACTGAAAGAAGATTAATGGCCCAAAGTCACCCAGCAGGCTTCCATGGCAGAGAGGGGATCTGAACCTGTGACCAGTGTTCCCTCTAAGCTGAGTTAGTGTGAGCTAGCTCTATTTTTGAGCCTCTGGCTCACACAGTTTTGTCTTGTCTCAGGAAGGATGGATCCAGAGCAAACCAATTTATGTAGTAGCCAAATAACTCACTCACAACATTAATGCCAGTAGCTCACAAAGTAGAATTTTTGCTCACAGGACTCCACAGCTTGCCTGTGACTCCCAGATCCTAGTGCAAAACAAACCACAGTACCAATATACTTCATGAAATCAGCATGAACAAGGGATTTCTGTTCTCTTCACTATCAATTCACACAGAGTGGTTTACACGATTAGAGTGAATGTATAAAAGTCAATGGAGGAGGCCCATTTTTGCTGCTGAACTGGAATTCTTGCTTGTCACAAGGAGGTCAGAATGTTTATTTTATTGAAAAATGGGTAATGTGGTATTGTTTAGTGAAAAAAAGTCACGTCTAGATGGTGTTTGACTGGGTTTTGTTCTTTCATGTCATTCCAGGAGCTCCATCACTACCGTTTACATTGAGGTCCTTCCTCCAAACAATCAGAGCCCTCCTCGCTTCCCCCAGCTGATGTACAGTCTCGAAATCAGTGAGGCTATGAGAATTGGTGCCATTTTGCTAAATTTGCAGGTACAGAATGCTTCAATGTAAGCATTTACAGAGCTCTTTTTGCTTACGAACGCTTAAGATCACTGAACTCTTTCCATCTTCCTTTGTCTGTAGAACCCCTTGTATGTTGCCACCAACCCTGTGCATCACAGAGGATTGTGAGGAGCCTTATAGAGTACACTTCAAGTACACATCAGATGCCAGCCAGGTTTCTAGGACCTCATCACTGAGACAGCCAAACAAACTCTGCACATTAGAATACTGCCAACCTTCTCTGGTTACACGTTACAGAGGACAGTAGTGATGGACAAGCTGTCTTTCAGGAAGACTCACCCACCCTTATATATCTTCTCATTGAGGCCCCCCAACAAGCTTCTGATGAAACCCAGGGTTCTGCATGCAATACAGAGTGAAAACCATTGCCACACCAATCCTTTTCAGTCATTACATTTTTGGTGTTACTATTTATTTATTTAATTGGATTTTTCAACTGCCCTCCCCTGGCAAGCCAGGCTCAGAGCAGTGTACAACATAATCAATTAAGAACGGATTAAAACCAGTAACAAACAGAAAGCAAGTGGAGATGGTGCAAGAAAACCCAGTAATGCTGCTATCTCATGGGGTTTACATTGTGCCAGGATGAAACCATCGCTGTCCTTAACCAAATGCCTGGCAGAGCATCTCTGCCATGCAGGCTCTGTGGAACTGTAACAAGTCCCTCAGGGCATGGATGTTGTTTGGCAGAGAATTCCACCAGGTTGGAGCCAGGGCAGAGAAAGCCCTGGCCCTGGCTCTGGTTGAGGACAGCTGGATGCCTCTCGGGTCGGGGACTGCCAATAGATTTTGATCAGCAGAGCAGAGAGGCAGTCCTGAAGGTGCATACATCCCTGGTCATTTAATGCCTTGAAAGTCAATACCAGAACCTTGAACCTCAGCCAGTACTACACCGGACGTCAGTGCAGCTCACACAGCACAGGGTGGGTATGTGCTGTGCACAGTGTCCCTGTAAGGACCCACACCTCTGCATTCTGTACCAGTTGGAGTTTCTGGGTCAGCCTCAAGGGTAGGCCCACTACTACTTTGTGTAGTAGGAAAGCATACTATCTGTGATCCTCACAATAGGTACAATCAGCATCTTGTATGAATAGGGCAACGTATACATTTTCAAGTTTTGACATGGATGAGTGTGTGCTCACAACAAATCTGGGCTTGCTATTGTGTATACTGAGGCTGGAAATTGCTCATTTCACTGTTAACATAAAACGGTACATTGAGAAGACTGGGCACAGGACTCTTTACCAGTAAATAATGTGAGAGTACCAAAAACGTAATGACTGAATATGCCTGCAATGTCTCATGTGAAATATGTTCATTTATTAAGCATAGCAAATTTTATGATAAAGATGTTTTAGATCTTCATGTGTAGCTGTGTTAAAGCAGTAAGAAAGGAATTTAGAATAATGAATAGTCTTCAGTGTTTTTGAGTGGAAGTCCTATAGATCTGAGAGAAGAGTACAGTTGTTATGCTGTTGAGCTATCTATCACATTGTTTATCTCACCCTGTAAAAAGTTCTGGGTAGTGTACGTGTTTCTCCCTTCCATCTGTTCACCCAGTTGAGGTCCCCAATAAAATTACAATATTTTTAAAATTTATTATTTAGTATTAAATTGCAGTGTTCACCTGCTGATGGAAGACCATGATAGAAGGAGACAAGCAATTCTCCCTAGGGAGCAAATTCTGTAATTATGGCACCACAACTGAGAACTGGGTTGCCACCAACCTAACCTCAGATGATAGGTCCACCCAAATCGGGGCTTCTAATGGTTGAATAGTTCATACAGGGATAGGTGATCCCAGGACTTTGGGGCGGGGGGGGGGGGATGTCCCTGAAGTCTCAAGAGGGAAATGAAGCTTTCAATCTGTATACTGAATACTCATGAACTTTTAAATATTTTTAAAAGAATTTTGTCAAAGAGGTTCCGAAACTCCAGTCCAGTGCACTCCCCCAGAACAAAAGCCCTGGGTGACCCTTAGAGTGTTTATAAAGGTTTGAATTGAGCCTGGAAGCAAATTGGGAGCCAGTGTAAGTAGAACAGGATTGGAATGATATAGTCTGTGTAACCCACTCTAGTCAGCATTCTGGCTGCAGCATTTTGTTCCAGTTGTATCTTCCAAACACTCTTTGTTGGCAGGCCCATGTAAATTGCATTGCAGTAGTTCATTCTAGATGTTACCAGGGCATGCATCAGTGCAGCAAGATATTTTTGGCCCAGGACAGCCTGCAGCTGGCTCACTTGCCAAAACTGATAAAAAGCTCTCCTGGCCACCACCACCACCTGCTTATCCAATAGGAGCCCTAGGTCCAGAAGCACCCCCAAACTAAGGACTGGATCCTTTTTGTGGAAGTACAACCCCATTCAGACCAGAAGACACCTCAGTTCCTGAGTTATTTTTCCTCCCACCAGTAGCACCTCCATTTTGTGCAATTAAGTTCAGTTATTAGACTTCATCCATCCCCAAATTGCCTGTAGACAGTGGTTCATGGTTTCCACAGCCTCCCAGGGATTCACTGGAATAGAGCTAAGTATCATTTGCTTATTAGTGACAATCTAGCCCAAATCTCCAGTTATTCTCTGGTTATTCTTACAAGCACATGAGGTTGGCTAGCTTGAGAGCTTCATAGCAAACTGGGGATTTACATCTTGGTCTCTTCAGTCCTGGTATGAAAGTCTAGCCCACTACATTATACTGGCTCTAGCTTTCAGTATCACTAGTACATACACATAGTATACACTGAGTTGCTAGTCTCACTATTAGAGAGATTTGGTCTGCTTTAAGAGATAAGTCTTTTGTTCTGCTTCTCAGCTGTAACTTCCAAAAGGGATTTCCATGTAATGATTATTACAAGGGTTTGTCAATCTTGTTTCAGGACTTGGAAGTGCTTTTTCAGTTGTCCTTAGCATTGCGGTGCAAATGTATACGATGCTTTTAGGTCTACTAGTCACTACCACTGACTCTGATCAGCACAGGGATTAAAGATGCCAGATATTTCTCAGCAAACCAGTTTGGCAGACAAATTTACCTTGTTCAACTGTGAGCTGATAAGGGATATTTTTTTTATTGCTTTGAGCAACTTGAACAGCTGCCAGACACTAGGTTTATAGGTGCCTGTTGGTGAGAATTCGACTCAAAGCTGATGGGGGATCCACCCCATCCTCTCAACAAAAAGATACACAGTTATGTTTCAGAAGTGGGCTCTGCCATCCCCTCCACGCTAGGTGCTGAATTAACAGGTGTTGAAGCATTTTGATTTCTGCATTGCAAAAGAATGGAGACAGATGTGGTGCTTTTAATCTCTTCATTAGGAAGAGGTAAAAGAGCTTTTTTCTCAATTTTCGTTGCAGCCTAAACTGACTGCTTAGGATGGGGGGGGGGGAGGGGAAAGAAAGGGAATCAGCTTGACCTAATTCATTGCATCTCAGCAAATATAGGAGGCAGAAAAGATTCTAGTGAGAAATCAAAAGAACCTGACTTTATCAACTGAGAGTTGGCTCCTGATAGCCCCTTAAAAAACGTTGCTGGATACAGAGCAACATTTCCCCACCAGGAGATCAGAAGCCAACTCTCATTAGCAGCAAGTCAGCTGCTGGTGGCTGCAAGTAGCCTGTTCCTGCAGTGCACACAAACAGGTTGAGAACAACTGAGCAGTGCATCAGTTAGTTGATCGCCTGATCACTGATGGCAAACCGGAAGTGAGCTGAACTGGCAGGTGTTCAGACATGCCTATTAGGGATGCTATCCGATTATTGGCAGGCAGATGTTAAAAGAGTGGTGGTTATCCCCATCACGGTGGTGCCAGGATATGGTGAACCTGTTGCATATAAAAGACACTGGCCTTTTATGCATGCACATCTTCCTGCAGGTTTTCCTAACAGTAAGCCTCTAAGCTTGACTTCGGACTCCATTCCCGCCTTATGCAGCATTCTATTTCCTCCAGTGCATTCATTCTGCAGCTACCAACCCCTCCCCCCCAAAAAAAAAAACAAAAAACAAAACCAGTAAAAAAACGGAAGTGCACTTGTGATGTGGGGGGGGGGGTGATGTCCAAAGTTTTTTTAAAAAAACAATGCAGTTGCTCTATGCCAGCTGTGCAGTAGTGTCCAGCAAGCACCTTCGATTTCAATAGGCCAGAGACTTCTATTTTTGCACCTTTATTAAGTTCAGTTTATCATTTTCATACTAAGAGCCATACAGAATTAATAAGAATATGATCATTTTTACAGCCTTTGTGTTTACCCCTTCCTCCGTGACAGATTACCTTAGATTTCCTCCTGCCCGTCCCTGTCCTTCCTTCATAGGCCACTCCCCCACCCACATTTTAATTTTTTCCCAAGCAGCATGAGTCTAGCAATATGAGACCATCACTAATCTCATGCCACTTGTAAAAAAAAATACTCCCCACCAGTGTTCCCTCTAAGCTGACAAGATATGCATTACATAAAGCTCCATGCAGAAGCAACCATAGAAAGCAAGAAGAGCAAACCAGAGCTCCCTGCACGCACAGTGAGCCTGGCCGGACTGACCTCTCCTGCCACCCGGTTTAAACCAGGTGGCGGGAGGAGGGAGTGCAGAACCTCATCATACCTGTAATGAATGTTTGTGGGGGTTTTTTACATTTGGAGAGTATCCTGTACAAACAGTGATTTATAGTCCACGTAATGCATATTCTCTTCATCAGGAAGAAAAATTGAAAGCAAGATGCACGTCTAAATAGCAAGCAGCAAACAGGAATGGCAGTGTTCAGTTCTAGCACAGGTGTACACTTGTGAGTTACAGACAGGACCAAGTAAGTTTTTGTACCATAGAAAGAAGTCAGCATGTCTTGCTAGTTTTCTGGTTGCTGCAACCTGCCTGTCACTTTAAGCTACTTAAACCCCTGAGTCTGATACATTCATAACTTTGTAAAATAATTTGATATCTGTCAGTGTAGACGTTTTAGGAAGGCAATAACCTTATTTAATGATTTATTAATGGTAGAGCTGAGATAGTCATGTTTGAACCACACTGAAAACTACTAGGAACACAAAGTTAAACATTTTACAATTTTTTTATTCCAATGGGAGAATCATAAGCACATGTTTAGTTCTCCCACTGAAATCAAAGGGACTTAAACATACTTAAATTTGGCTGGATTGTTCCCCATGTTTTAAAAACCTATATAATTTTTTCCAACAGTTTCCAGATAGTACATCCCATTTAATTAGTTACATTTTCCAGTAACTTCTTCATCCTTTTGAGGTATATTATAGTCCAATATGATTTTTTTAATACCACATATTTTAAGAAGCATCCAAAATGAGAGCAAGATTTAAACACTGCTATTGTACTTATTTTAAGATATACCGTTATAAATAATGCCTACTGAGTGAGTTTGAAAATAAACTGGAGACTTAATCGCTTGCTGAAAGACTCTGTATTACCTCATGTTCTGTCAGTCATTCTTGATTAAAGCTTAAGTATGCAAATATTCTAATTTCCTGAAATTCCAATAAGCAATTATCATGCTCATGAGAGCACACTCTCCATGCAGCCAAAATACAGCCATTCTCTGGAGGGGATGAAACATATACTATCAGCTGATCTAGAGTCAAAGCTGTCACATCTTTAATTGTTATGAATGAGCTGATTAGCATTTAAAATGTGCTGTCCATCACAATTGATCCCCCCCCCATCCTGATAATAAAAAGAGAGGCTGTAACAATCTAGAGCATGACACTGGTTTGTGTTATTCTTCTGAAGGCAACTGATCGAGAGGGTGACCCTATAACGTATGTCATCCAGAATGGAGATCCCCAGCAAGTATTTAACCTTTCTCGAACGTAAGTAGTACAATGCATATGACTGTATTTCTGACTTTCAATTGAATATGCAGATTGTGTGCAAATAAGGCAGCTTCTAATCAGAACTGTTCAGCTGTTTGTAGTTGAGCTCTCAGACACTAATGAGACTTCTGTGAATGGTACTGAACTTTGAAATTGTACACCCAAGGCCATTTATTTATTTTAAATGTCTGACTAGGTAAAACCCACTGAGATGGAAATGTCCATTATAAGAGTGACCTGGGATTAATTAGAAGCCTTTAGACTTGCCAGCTTTCTGCTAATGACAAGTAACATTTTTCAAACTTACAATTCCTTGTCCTGAAAATAAAATGTATTTCCCTTTTCATTAAAGGGAGGCCTTTTAGGGTCATTGTTTGAATTCACCACCAGACATTCCAGGCATTACTAACCAAGAAAGCTTTTAGCTGTATCCTAAATTGATGCCACCTTAATTAGTATAAAAAAAAGTCATAGAACATTGAAAGCACATGTCCCAGAAATAGTGCACACCTTCTTTCCTTTTAAGAAACTGTCATTTGCAAAGCTATTATTTGCCTGAATATTAATTATAGTAAAGGGGAAAGGAAGGATAAATTGAGGACTTTTCTTTTGAAATAAAATGGGAAAAGTACGGCAAGGCTTATCATTATGTTCTCATACCTCAAGAGCAGTTAAGCAAAAATCTGCATTTATTTGTCACCGCGAAAACTGGTATAAGAGACCAGATATTATAAACAAAGAATGACAAAGTAATCTATCGTGTTTAATTTTCAAAACAGATACTATAGTTCTCCCAGTTGAGACAATTATTCTCCGCCCACTTTCTGTCCCATTCACTCCTATTTCCTTGTTTCAATAGGAAAGGAAAAGTGTTAGTAGCTGAATAGTAAACTCTTGCAGAAGCCAGTTGAGGAGTTCCTGAAGTATACGCACAGCCACTCAATAGGACAAATAACCCCCCTGGGCAGTTTTATGTAGGGTTGCCAAGTTGTTGCAGTTGCCGCAGCGGGGGACTCCCGGGTGGTGACTGGAGCACGCGTGAAGCACGCACACGCCGCACGCACGTCACCCGGGAGTGACGTTAGGACGCCGGGGACACTGGGGGCGGGGCCACGACCCTTGGAGGGAAAACCATAGAGTTTTCCCTCCGATGGTTGTGGCCCCGCCCCCAACATGCTCGGCATCCTAACGTCACTTCCTGGTGACGCACACATCGGGGCGGGGTTCTCCCCGGGGCCCGATCCGCCACCGCCGGGGAATGGGCCTCTGCGGCGGGGGTTTCCCTGCCCCCCGGGGGGACTTGGCAGCCTTAGTTTTATGCCAGGAAAATAGTGCCAAGCAGAAGGCTGAAACGTCTCCTCCTCTTGTACTTTGGTCCATATCCTAATTGGGACTGTGGTGGAACAGTCCTGCTCTGGCCTGTAGGCCCTGTTCCACCCTGCTCTCTAATGTTTTCTGAACTCAGTCTCAGTCTTAGATCCTCACCAGTCCGGCTTCCGCCCAGGTCACGGGACCGAGACGGTTTTGGTCGCTCTAACTGACGATCTCCGGAGACATCTGGATCAAGGCGGTGTGGCCGCACTGGTGTTGCTAGATCTGTCGGCAGCGTTTGACACTGTCGACCACCAATTGTTGACCCATCGCCTTGCCGACGTAGGGATTCAGGGGCTTGCCCTTCAATGGTTTGCCTCTTTCCTCTGCAAGGTCGGGGACAAAGGGTGGCTTTCGGGGACCGGCGCTCCCGCAGGTACCCCATTGAGTGTGGGGTGCCACAGGGGGCTGTGCTGTCCCCGATGCTATTTAACATCTATATGCGCCCCCTTGCCCAGATTATCCAGAGTTATGGGCTGGGGTGTCACCAATATGCAGATGACACCCAGCTCTATCTGATGTTGGGCGGCCGATCGGGCTCGGGCCCCGATGACCTATATCGGGCACTTGAGGCCGTGGCTGGTTGGCTCCGACTGAGTCGATTGAAACTAAACCCGGCGAAGACGGAGGTCCTGGGCCTGAGTCAGACCGGGACAGGAGTGGGGTTTCCTCTCCCGACCTTCGATGGGGTGCCTTTGGTGCCTACATCGGGAGTTTGGAGTTTGGGGGTCCACCTGGACTCTGCCTTAACGATGGAGGCCCAGGTGGCAGCCACTGTCAAGTCCGCCTTTTTCCATCTTCGGCGGGCGAATCCATGCGACGGTCACCTCGAGGCTAGACCACTGTAATGCTCTCTACATGGGGCTGCCTTTGTCGCAGATCCGGAGGCTGCAGCTGGTGCAGAATGCTGCGGCCAGGCTGTTAATGGGTCTCTCTAGAAGGGACCATGTTCAGCCTGTGCTGAAAGCG